TTTGTATGGTCGTCACAGACAGCTTCAATAATGAGTATATAAACTCATCATAGTTACCAGGATTAAAATTTTGTACGACAGACGTGCGTTTACAAAAGACTCATCAGTGACACTCGAATAAAAAAAAGGGTCAACTAATCAAAACTGAAGGGGCAATGTAATAAAAAGGCAGCCAGGAAACAAAATATAAAGGTATGAAAGATAAAATTAATGCACCCAGAGATTATAAAGCAAACTGAGTGCTAATATTATGCAATTAATGTCTTTTAATGAGGTAAATATTATAGTATACGTCCATACTTACCATCAGTGGTTAATGTACATTACATGAATCCAATGCACATTTTATATAGAGTATCTGTCAATACCTGCTTTCAGTGTTTAGCGTACAATACAGTACTCTTATATACAGTCTATATAGAGTATCTGTCCATACCTACGCTAGGTGTTTGACGTAAAATACAGTATATACACTATCTATCTATAGTATATGTCCATACCTACCCTCGATGGTCAATTTACAATATAGTACTCCTATACACAGTCTATATAGAGTATTTGTCCAAACCTATACCATCAGTGGATAACTTACAATACAATTCTCCTTTACACGTCACTATGTCTCTGCCCATACATACCCTCAGTAGTTAACTCGCAAAGTTTATTTCATAACATAATGGATACATGTATGCCGATGATGCTGCTTCTGGTGCATTGCCAACTAACCGTGACTGAATAGTATGGTTTATGGCTATATTATTTACTCAATAGATGCTCGGATCCACGAATTTGAAAAGGGGGCGCCAAACTAGCTAAGAGCAGAACATGTAAAAGGTCTATGCATTAATCATACATGTACTCAAAGCTCAATAAGGGGGGACCCGGGCTCCTTGGCATCCCATAATCCGCCTCTGCCGTTCATATATATTCCGTATTTGAGCTGGTATTATCTTCTAGTTTATTATGCATGTTTAACATACTAATCGTTGTACTATTGTTGACGGCCACTGAATTGTTCTGGTTGGATTATTCATTTGCCGTAGTTATTCATTAAGTTATTTTGCTAGTACGGCTAAATTTATTTTCATTCTTGTAGTATAAAACGATTTTCTGCATTGTCCCGCATTTTGTTGGACAGGATATTCATGTTAATCCTAATTCTTCCTGGCGTAGGCACACGTGCTTAGGCAAAGTTATATATGATGGTTGGTGAGGGGGGGGGAGGTTGTTCATTTCTTCATTCGGCTTTAGTAAATTTCATACAATTCCCCCACTTTTTTTTGCCAATTATTCTCCATTCTGAAAAGAAGGTCTCGATCATTGGTTTACAGAATAGAGAATAAATATAGACAAAAAGTACAGAATAAAGAGCAAAAAACACAGAATAGAGAAAAAATAAACACAAAAATAGTCACGGTATAGAGAATAATGGGATGCTATTCCTGGGACTATACTATAAACGTATAATAGTATAATAGTCCCAGGCTATTCTAAAATATAAATAGTAGAGAATAATGGGATGCTATTCCTGGGACTATACTATAAACGTATAATAGTATAATAGTCCCAGGCTATTCTAAAATATAAATAGTAGAGAATAATGGGCAAAACTTATAAAAATTAAGGAAATCTGATCTAAATATTAGAGAATATAGAAATGAAGGACCCTTTAGGGACTTATCATTTTTTATCTGGGAAGGGGGGGGGGCTGGTCAAAATGCAGGGGGGATCAAGTTTTTTTCTGTAAGTGGACAAGGGGGGTTCAAATTTTTTTATAAATTCAAAGTGGGGGGATCAATATTGCACTTGGAAATAAGTAGTTCACATACTTCAAGAGACAAAATGTCAAGAAGAACATTACAACAGTCAAATCGAAATATATTTTTAACACCATTCATATACAATTAAGTAAGACATCACAAGACTTTGGTTATGTAAGAAGCTGCCATTTTGTGTCATTTTGTCCTATATAAAATGCATAGGTGCTTCATAATCCGAATAATTCAGTTGTTATATTTCACTCACGTCGATCACTAAATTAACAAGCATTATTGCCAATGTATCTATTTTTTACAGAGTTACTCAGAATCAAGTTTTCTTTAATAGCCCAATATAGGAAAGTAGAAAAAAAAGTCAGAAAAAGCTACTCAAAGCACTGGCTTGCTCTACCTACTAATATTCATGGAAGAGGCCTTATGGAAGAGTCCTATTTCAAGGCAATTTTCCCTCAAATAAGTTTTGGGACTCAATCCACTGAGAAGCATGATTTCATTTTCAATATTTCCTTGAAATACCACGATAAGTGAGGGTCGTAATGGGGGTACCTTGATGACGAATAACGGTAAAAATTCTTGCCAAATGACGTTAACGGTAATTTTTGGTGCATGACGATAAAATGTACAGTTTCTTTTAGACGATAAAAAAAATCAATTGATTTTGACGAATCACGTTAATCATTTTTTTCCAAAAATAACGATAACGATAATTATTTGAGACCTCTGACGAATCACGATAAGGATACTTTGACGCATACCTGCCAACCCTCCCGTTTTGAGCGGGAGACTCCCGCTCAAATGGCGAAATTCTGGAAATCTCCTGCTAGCCGGTACCCTCCCGCGCGGGAGTATAGAATCTCCCACTTTGGGATATTTTAACCTTGAATGACAAGTCAATATTAATTACGTTTTTGTCTCACTGATGAGGGTTGTTTTTACCTGTAAATCATTGACCATGTGAAATTAAATGGCTTCACTTGACAGCTTGGGTGTCAAACATAGTACTAATTAACGATCATTAACGACTTTTGCTTCAAGCAAAACACTTAATAGAAATTTCGGGTTACTTTCTCTGTTTAATCCTGTTTTAAGTTACCCTTAACTTGTATATGTAAGAGAATGATAATCCCTTTCTTCATGAATAAGTACGAGCGTTAGCGAGTACTTATCATGAAGTAAGGGATTATCATTCTCTTACAAACTTAGAATATTGTAAAGTGCTCAAGGCTTAAATGATCTATTCAAGAATTAGTTTCATTGTAAGTGCAATGTTTATAATTGATGCATGACTTCCTTTTTTGGAATGTCATTTATGGATAAGTTTTAGTGATGTGAGGACTTTCTTATCATTTGGGAAATATTTTTAAAAAAATGCGTTATAGATATTAGGTGACACAACAGTAGAAAGAAAAGGTAGGAATTGTATGTTTCCTGATTGTGAGTATGAATGTAAATCATGTAATATTTTAGTGAGGAATTATCCTTTTTTATTTACAGTTTAAATCAATTAATACATTTGAGTTACAACTAAATTTTATTTCACAGCTAATAAGATTTAGGTTATTTTTTATCTGAAAGAATTTTTTTCTTTTATTTTGCATTGCTTTGGTATTGTTTAATTCTATAGTAATTTGAAGTTATTAATATTTTCATAATAAAATTCACGGTACAAATTTTACTGCACCAGTAAACTTCAACTTATTTTGAGATTTTTGTTTGTTTCACAATTTAACTTTTAGTCAGTTTCAATCACTGTGTGATAAATCCTTTCAATCTGATAAATGTGCTTCGGGGCAGTTGTAACTCATTTATAGAAACTCTTTGTTTTGAACTGTAAATAGACCCAACTAATAGGATAATCCCTTACTAAGAACATGATTTACATTCATTCTTCACAATTAAGAGGCATCCAATTCTACAATTTCATTGGTCGAGAGTACTTTGCTATATTCTAACTTAAAATAATGTGAATTGATAAAACAATATAAACTAAATACAAATTAAACAAAGAATCATAAAAGGATGGCAATTAAAAGATTTTGTATGCCTTAAGACAAAAAAAATAATTATATTTTAAAAATCACGTAAAAGATCTATACTTCTATTCAATGTTTATATTGAAATTTATAAGATATGTATTGAACAAAATTTAGTGAAATAGATAAGTGCACACACAAAATGCACCTGTGATAACATGATTGCTCACTTATAACTGAAGTATCTGGAGTGAATGTTGTCCGGAAGGGATTCAAAAGTCAAAGTTGATGAAATAGGAAAGAAACAAGCAACACACCTTCTGTAGGATATAACCATATTTAAAGAAACAAAGTATATTTATTAACTCTTATATGCGTTTCGTAGATTTATAAAAAAAAGTCATATATTTCACTTGAAAATGTCGTTCGCGCAAAATCTCCCCCTCAGCTGTCATAGTTGAGAGGGAGATCTCCCTCTTTGAAGGTTTCAGAGGTTGGCAGGTATGCTTTGACGAATCACGGTAAAATTTTAACAAATTTGACGCTAACGGTAGCCAAAAAAGACCATTTGATGCCTGACGTAAATGGCATTCATACCCTCATAAGTGATTTGCATGTTAAAATTTTGGCATGTTTAATAGAGGGGGGATCACATTTTTAAAATGTTTTTACAGGGGGGATCAAATAAAAATAGTGAAATATTATGGGGGGGGGGTCAAGAAATTTTGTATGTATGATTTCAAAATGACCAGCCCCCCCTCCCAGGTAAAAAATGATAAGTCCCTTATCCAGACCCTCTGTAAACCCGCCAGAGACAGAGTCTCGGTTAAACCCCATCCAGACCCTCGCTTATTTTCACCAGGTTTAATTTGTTTAGAAATTTTGAGTACGGAGATAGTTAGTAGTCTCAGATGTGATCATAATATTTTCAAGCCAAGCCGACGGAAAAGAGGGGCAGTCTCCGTGAAAGTATCTATTCAAACTTGCCGCCAAAATGTCATTTCCCTATGGAATTTGACATGTCTGCGCAGACACTGGATGTAGTTCCTGGAAACCTCACAACCGTATTACTTAAAATACAATATTCATGCACATTATTCATACGGAATGCAGTATATTACTTTTGAGCAAAATTAAAATTCATCAATATTAGTTATTGATTTGGAATTGATTTTGTTTCAATTTAGAGTTAAATAAATGACTAAAATCACAATATATTAAGAACTATTTGCTCTATACGTCACTTCCGGGTATGATCAAGATATAGAATTTCGACGATTCTAATGTTTTGGTGTTACGATTAACTTTGGTGTCATTCAGAATGTCTGATTGATTACCATTTGATCAATGCCATAATCATTACAGACACGGATAACACAATGGGAAACCCCACCGCTTTTTAAAAAGGATGATTCACATGAAAATGCAATAGGTATTTACGCACTTAGTGCGACATTGAGGAAGAGATGCATGTACTAGTAGACTCAAATGATGGCCTTGGCACTTGTATGACCTCAAATTTCTTTTTAAACTCCTGTGTTAGTTCACTCAAAGTCAAAAGAGGCATATTAACTCCTCCAAGTCGGGATCTGCTACTTCAAAGTCCAAAAAATTTCTTGAGCATCCACAAACCGCAAATGGCGTATACATTTCCTATGTCCAATATTACATTCTAACAGAATGCATTACTATTTGAATTTATATTGGCCAATCTGATGAATTAGTTGGTTTTTATTTGCCAAATGTTTAGTTGCAAATATTTTTTGCACATTCCAGATATTCAACGAATGAAATTCACAGTTGAGGGTTCATGTGGACCCTTTGGCTAAAATGGCTGCGTTTTCACCTCAAAATTTACTGAGCACAGACAAACCTGTGCATCTGGAAAAGTTTTAAGGCATAGCATGCCCTAGTCCAAAAAATTATGACGTCTTGCAAGGCTATTTTAATTTTTTTCTGAGGTCATATCCAGCTGCGCTCGCAAAGCTGTTTATTTTAATTTGCATTTATTGTTCAAACGACATGCACTACTGTCTACATATTAATTGTTTTATCAAGTCAATTATTTCTTATTCTGGTGCCCAAAGTTGGAGAATTTTTCCTATTCTTAGCAAAGTATTTTGCTTTTAGAAGATTTATTATATTAGCATCTTCTTTTTTCCTGATAATTTATCTTTACTGATTTTTATACGAACGCAAAAAAATTTTGTGGTCGTATATTGGTATGACGTTGGCGTCGTCGTCCAAAGACACATTGGTTTTCGCACTCTAACTTTAGTTTAAGTGAATGGATCTCTATGAATTTTTACCATAAGGTTCAATACCACAAAAGGAAGGTGAGGATTGATTTTGGGGGTTATTGTACCAACAGTTAAGGAAAAAGGGGCCAAAAATAAGCATATTTGTAACTTCCAGACATAACTTGTGTGTTAGTGTATGGATCTCTCTGACATTGTACCACAAGGTTCCATATCACTAAGGGAATGCTGGGATTGATTTTGGGGGTAATTGCCTCAAAATTTTAGGAATTAGGGGCCAAAAACGGGGCAAAAAACAAGCATTTTTCTAGTTTCATGACAATAACTTGTGTGTAAGTGTATGGATCTTTATGAAATTGTACTACAAGGTTCCATATTACAAAGGGAAAGCTGGGTTTGAGTTTGGGGGTAATTGCCCTTAACGTTTAGGAATTTGGGGCCAAAAAACAAGCATTTTTCTAGTTTCCAGACAATAACTTGTGTTCAAGTGTATGGATCTCTCTGAAATTGTACTGCAAGATACCATACCACAAAGGGAAGGCTGGGATTGAGTTTGAGATTTAGGGGTGATGAATCATACGGGGTTCAAAAAATTGGGGGGGGGGATTTTTTTTTTTCCCTTTTTTTTTCTTTTAAATTTTCCATTTTAAATTGGTTATTTCTGATTCATATATAAAAGCAAATAATAATGATATGATTTCAATAGGTAAATTAAAAAAAATTAAGTTCTTAGACCACATTCATTCTGTGTCCGAAACCTATGCTGTGTCAAATATTTAATCACAATCCAAATTCAGTGTTGTATCAAGCTTGAATGTTGTGTACATACTTGCCCCAACTGTTCAGGGTTCGACCTCTGCGGTCGTATCAAGCTGCGCCCAGCGGAGCATTTTATTGTATGATTGGATTGAGGAAATTTCATAGAGTGCAGGCATAGTAATTTTTATTGAATTATTATAATATTAGTTTATCACAAACATTGAAAAATGCATTTGTCTAAAAATTTCTGTGAATGACTTAAATAAAATGGGATTTATTATTTATTTTAAAGATACATCTCCTGTATCTAGATATACAAATAACATATATTGTAAACAGTGATATTGTTTGCCTCAAATTACCTCCGAAATTTGACTATTTCCCCTAGAGAAAATTCCAAATTACTAAAAAAAAATGGCATAAAATTCCTCCCTTTAAGTTGTACATTTTTTCCAAACGGTGATGGCATTGGTTGTAATGTACATAAATTTCGTTTTCTTGTTATTATTTTGATATTATGAAAGCGCTTTTGAGATCCAAGTTTCTGATTAGAAACATCGCGGTGTTTGTAACACATGGTTTTCAATGTAGTAAGTACTTTTATTTTCTTTCCCCTCCCCAAAAAGTTCCTGTCCGGTTGAAAATGTCTCACAATTCAAAATATTATGTGAAAAAACTGAGCAAAAAAGACAGCAAAAGTCAGTAAAAAATCTGAGATGTGTTAAAAAAAAAAAAATTATTATAGTAAATGATCAGTCATCTGAAATCGAATCAGAGGTCAAACAGCTTGTAAATGTGTTCAAGGGATTAAAGGACAGAAAAATGGACCTTTGAAAATTAAAATAATGAACTGTTATGACTTGTCTTATCAATTATATTAAATTCAATCTTGTCTTCGAATTCAAGTTTTAGTACAATTAATTCTTATTCAAAACTTCCCAATTTCCAAAAAAATTATGCATTTTCCCCCCCCCAAAAAAGGGTAGAGGTAGTTTTGAAAAAAGACAACAATATCACTGCTATTAGTGTTAAAAAGACAATGAAATAGGAACTACACATATATATAGGTTTTTATTGCATTTTGATGAGTTTATACAAAGCAACTAACAATTTAAAGTTATGGAATTTTTCTTATGTGAACTATTGATAATTGAGAGACAATTTTTAACTGATTACGTATCAATATACATGTTGCACTGATTTTAAATTAAGATAAACAGCACTTGCATTCTTTTATTTATACAAGGATCTAACAGCACTCAGTTCTACTTTCTGTTCTGGAAGTCTCGACATCATCCAATGAAATTTCAACCTTAAAATTTTTGAAGGTGTGGATCATAACTTCAAAACCAGAGAATCCCAAAATGTCTTTTAAAAAAGAAGGTAGAACAGAGTGTTGTCAGATCCTTGTGAGCAAAACCTGATTACAGGATCTGTGTTTCAATCAGATAGTTATGTAAAACAATTCAAACAAAAAAATAAACGGCTCATTAAAAATAAAATAGATCTGACAGACTGTAACCAACATAACCCCTGAATTACAGGCTCTTGACCACTTGGTACAGGCAAATATAGAAAGTTGTGGGGTTATGGTAAACATGTTTCGGGTGCTCAACCCTCCCCTTAACCTAGTACAGTTGTACTGTAATGTACATCATGCATGTATAACAGCAGAGCATATAGCCAAACTAAAAATCAGCAAAGGACTTGACTCATAAGATTGGCACAAACAACAACAAACATGTAGACAAAGGACCCAATGTATTGATCTAAGAGTACTTACAGTAACTGATACATTGTTGCTAGTTTAAAGCCAATTACAACTTATAAAATAAATCATGTTTTCTCAGACGAAAATATCAATCAGTACAGTCTTGAGAAAAGCATGACCTTAAATGTATTCATTGCTGAAATATAAGTATCATTTGAATTGACTTTTCCCTAGATATATTTAGACAGACATGAACTTGTATGTACTGATATTAGGAATTTTACTGGACGGGTACCAACCATGCATAAACCCTTTAGGGAAAACACTCCTAGTGTTTTCCATTTTGCCAAATTTTGGATTTTTGCCAGTGGGAAATACCACCAACAATGAGTAATATTCAACCCTGATTTACAAATGTAGCATTATTTATTCATATATGGCTTTATATTTACAGAAATGGCGGGAATGCCTATAATTCCAGTGGAATCAAGAAGTTTGCTGTTAACTGATTTTGAAAGGGTTTAAATATATATACCTGCTGGTAAAATGTCGGCAGAGTAAAATAAAAGGAGATGGAGTTTTCTTGGAATCTGTGTCATCATATCCACAAATTTTATAAATTGATAAAATAGACATGCCACTTGTTTGTTGAAGGAGAAACAAAGTCAAGCTTTTTATCTCATGAAGTATCCAGAGCATAAGTTGTCAATGGAAACGGCTTTGCCGTCATCAGTACAAAGTTGGCTCGGGAATGAACTGGAGATAAGAGGTATTGACTCTGTTATTTACTCACGATACATAATTCACCTGCTTCTTGAAGATCACGACGAAGAATGCATGGAGTATTTGGAACTTTTCTTCAATCCAAGACTTGATGTCAAAAGCAAAGTGAAAAGAAGAAGATGTTCTCGCAGCCAAGAAGAAAAGAAAAAAAAGGCTGCCATTGAATGTCTTCAGGCTGTCTCAGACGAGGTAATATTTGAGATGGTTTGCAATATATATGTAGTTTTTTGAAGGCAATGAATTTTACTTTTATGTCAAATGGTAATCTATCTCTTTTATCACTTTAGTCTTAAATTTATCAGAATGATTATTATGAATAAATGTGAAATAAAAAGGTTTTTACCCTTAACAAAATTAGTTTGCGTTCTCCAACTTTAGTTTGCCTCAACCACATGTTTTAAAACTTATTCACAATGCTTATTACCCCAAACACAGATCAAGGTCAAATTTGGGTAGCGTCACTTTTGTCGATCTTGAGTTGCGTCCCTTTTTAAATTGAAAAAATGCAGAATTTGTAGTATATTTACAAGCGAGGGTATCTGTGTCCCATGGACACATTCTTCATTTGTTTACATTTATTCTGATTGTTAATTGTAATAAGATGATTTTTTTTTGCGGGGGGGGGGGGGGGGGGGGGGGGAGGGGGGGCTGGGTCAAACATTGAAAGTAAAGCAAAGAAAAGGTATGTGGAGAATCACATGAGACAACAATCTCATGAATTACTATGAAATAATAAAATATTTAGAATCATTGAATTAAATGTAAAGAAAATGTAGATGTATGATATCCAAAACTATGTGTTCTATCATTGTAGAATTGTGGCATTGAAAAACTTGTAGAAGAGCTTTGCACTAAATTGAAAGAACTAAGTCAGTCATCAGGTAAGAAATAAGATAATTTCAAGATTAATATTTAACATGTATTCTTCCTGTTTGTTTTTAATTTTCCGTAGCTCTTTTCACAAAAAAAATTTTCAAGTAAAAATACTAGTAAGTTATGAACATTTCAGTATGACTTTCAATCAATTTTAATCGTAAGATTTTTTGTGAAAAGAGTCAGTGCTGTTTAAAAGAACAAACATATATGCATATTTGTACAAATACATGGACAAATGACCCTTAATGTTTATTTTTTGCACTCCTGATCCTGTGTGCTATGCAGGGTTTCCCCTGGGTCAATTTCTTTTTTCGTCACCTCTTTCGGCAATACATTTTTTGCCAACTCACATAAACATGTTTTTGTTTAGAACTTGTTTTCTTTTTTGATAGCAAAAATAAATCAGTTTGCAGCACTGCTGTCTCATTTATTATAATTCTACATATCTATTTCATATCCTACATTGTAATAAATGAACTCTAAATTAAAACAAAAAATTCTTGAACTTTTTTTATAGATACATGTACTGTAAAATTTGACTTCTGGGAACACATGGTTCATCTTTAATCATTTTATTTTATACTTCCTGTATAGTTAAAGGACAAAGAATAAAGTCAGAGATTTTTTCTTACTTATGAACCCTTTCATGAAAACAATAGTTTTCTTTTCCAAATAAACCATCGTAAAAAGTAAAAGTAGAGAAGTAAATTACGCTTAAATTGATTAGTTCGTTGTTGCAGATTGCTATCAAATGCAATCAGCTGATAACTGATTTTCTGACAAAATTGATATGTGTGACGAGTTCAAGGTGAAATCAGAGTATTGCCTGATCATCAAAAAAGTCTGAGAAACCTGAAACAAAATTAAAAGATGGACCTAGTCAAACCATTATCTTTCTTCATTATTGATTTTGTAATCGTCACAATTATATTTTTTCGCAAATTGCAAAAATGGAGACCGCCAACGGAAAGCCGAAACCCCTGGTGCAATGTAAGCTAATGCCACTTGGCCATTTTTACCCAAACTAGGGCAAAATTATCCATAGGTATCAAGTATGAAATTTGTATATTTTGTTCCTGTTAATCAACAACATGCCTATCATGCTATGGCCACCATGGCTTATAATAGAATATAAGAATAACTGCAAGTTATTGTCTGATAAACATCAATTGTCTTTAATACTCTTGCATGTCGCTTCTTGTTTCACTTTTCAACAATTCAGCATTCCTTATTCACAAATTAGGTTACGCAAATATTTAGCCTTCTTCTCCACAATTAATTTTAACAGTACTGGGGAATTATTGGGAATTGTATTAGTTTGGCAAATCTCATTTTCATGGAGATTATTTGACTCCGCCCCCTCAGTCATGGTCTATTGACTTTGAAACTTTTCATTAGTTTACATGTATTAGTTTGTGATTAGGTCAAAGATATGTGGTATGTAGTTGTATTAGCACATCTCATATCCATTAGATTGTTTGGCCCTGTACCTTCAGTCATGGTTCATTGACTTTGAAACTATTGCTTTTTTAATTTCAACATTTGCATTTTACTATCGAAATAACAAAAAGGTGAGCCATATCTCTGTGTTAACAGTTTATCTAACACTTTGCTGTACATTTATATAACACATTAAATGCATTATAAATTCTGGGAAATATTTTTTATTTTTTAAATCATTTCATTTTCCACAAAGGAGTAGGCCCGGTAAAGACCCATTTTGGCTCCAAAATATAGCATTTTTACAAATTTATTAAAATGTAACCTTTTGGTTATTTATTGGAAAGTAGAATACTTTGTTACATAAATATGGGCTGTTTTTGACAATACAATGCATATGCATCAGGTACTAGCATCATTAATTCATGCAAAATTACTGAAATCTTCACAATTTTAGCATTTGTGCTCAATTTTCAGACGGTTTTTGTCTAAAATGGAAGTGGCCACACATTTGTGCTCAATTTTCAGACGTTTTTTGTCTAAAATGGAAGTGGCCGCACATTTGTTTCCCTCTTAATATTTAAATATATGTTGTATATGATGATAATACATAACATTTGTAAAGGTTGAGACTGAACAGGAATTCGGCCACTTACATTTTAGACAAAAACTATCTGAAAAGTGACATTTTATGGGATATTTGATAGATTTTTCATATTTAAGCTAGAATTTTAGCATCTTAATGACCAAATCCTTTCAAATCTTATACATAAACTAATCAAATCGACTGAAGTAGACACTTAACTGTTTGAAAAATGTCAAAAATCTTTTATCAGATGTATTTCAAATTTTAGGCCAAAATTAACCCTTACCTCCATTCACAGGATTTTGTCATACACACATTTATTTTGTACTTAGATGCCAATAAAATGAATTTAGATAAAAATGCAAATGTTACAGTGGCCTGTAGTTGTTTATATCCTTGGTCTTTTAGTTGTTTTTATCCTTGGTCTTTGATGGATAGTCGTTTATATCCTTGGTCTTTGGTGGATAATTGTTTATATCCTTGGTCTTTTAGTTGTTTATATCCTTGGTCTTTAAGTTGTTTATATCCTTGGTCTTTGATGGATAGTTGTTTATATCCTTGGTCTTTTAGTTGTTTATATCCTTGGTCTTTAAGTTGTTTATATCCTTGGTCTTTGATGGATAGTTGTTTATATCCTTGGTCTTTGGTGGATAGTTGTTTATATCCTTGGTCTTTTAGTTGTTTATATCCTTGGTCTTTAAGTTGTTTATATCCTTGGTCTTTGATGGATAGTTGTTTATATCCTTGGTCTTTAGTGGATAGTTGTTTATATCCTTGGTCTTTGGTGGATAGTTGTTTATATCCTAGGTCTTTTAGTTGTTTATATCCTTGGTCTTTGATGGATAGTTGTTTATATCATTGGTCTTTGGTGGATAGTTGTTTATATCCTTTGTCTTTACGTTGTTTATATCCTTTGTCTTTGGTGGATAGTTGTTTATATCCTTGGTCTTTTAGTTGTTTATATCCTTGGTCTTTGGTGGATAATTGTTTATATCCTTGGTCTTTGATGGATAGTTGTTTATATCCTTGGTCTTTGGTGGATAATTGTTTATATCCTTGGTCTTTGGTGGATAATTGTTTATATCCTTGGTTTTTTGTGGATATAGTTGTTTATATCCTTGGTCTTTGGTGGATATAGTTGTTTATATCCTTCAAGGCTTGGTCTTTGGTGAATAGTTGTTTCTTTGGCAGTCATACCACATCTCCTTATTTTTTTATGTTGTCGTAATGAATTAGTTTAAACAGTCTATGAAAGGAATAATTGTGTATCTTCCATTAAAAAGATGATCATTAAATAACCAGGTAAGAATTTTGGACAAGTAATTGCAAAATTTGAAATAAAATATGCAGAAATGTTACAGGTTCCATTGTTATTATATCTATTTCCATTGTTGCAGAATAGAAAAGACATGTAAAGTGTTTGTACTTGATTGAAGTTACAATGCATCAATATATATATATAACCTGATTGAGATGTCTAAGATATTGTTGTGTAAATCCATGGTCAATCTGATATATTACAGGTTCTGATGACACAGACCAAGGAGACAGCACCCCTTCCCTAAGTGATGGAAGTTCTTCTGAATTGGAAGATCCTGCTGAAAGGTAATATACCAAATAATTGGAGAATGTGTCCATGGGACACTGATGATGCCCCAGCTTGCATATACATGTAACGCTATAAAGGGACATAACTCCAGAATGGTAAAAATGACGCCACCCAAATTCGAAATTGATCTTAGTGTTGTGGTAATAAGCATTGTGTTTAAGTTTCATAACATTTTGGTGAGAGAACGGAAACCAATTTCAGGACGTACGGAGACGGATGGACAGAAATGTCCCCTCCGCTACAGCGGGGGCATAAAATAGAAAAAGATAACATGAACCTCATATCTTACCAGTTTAAAAAACAAACAATGTATAGACATCAGACAGACCATGAGGTCTTAAAAATTGAGAAATCTCACACTTTTAGAGAACATCTTGTATGGATTTTAGATGACAAAATAACAATGAATGTGGTTTGCTGGCAAGGACAATTGATAAAAAGCCCAATATGCAAAATGCAGTAAAAAATAATTGTTAATGTTATAGGTCACCATTGATGTTTCAATGGCAATGACCAATCAAATGCTACAAAAAGTCATATTGTCCTATTTTACCCATTTCTAAAGGTATAGCCCAGCATGGGAAGACCTGGATTTATCAACAAGGTTTTTTTTCAGCCTGAGTAATACTTTACTAACCCTGGTTTAAGGTAAAGTCTACAAAATTGGTTGATATTAGGGATTTTTATGAAATATTATATGCATTTAGAACTTGTTGAATTGCATCTGAATATTGAAAAAAATGATATATGTACAAATATAGCATATATATAAATTAAGAGATACAATCAGTTAGATATTTTTGAAATAGATCTATAATCATATCATTGTAATAATACATTGTTGTATATTTTCAGATATTATGCAGCATTTCCTGCCCTTACTGGACAAAATGAAAAGTCACCAACTTTTGAAAACTGTCTACATATGTCCAGTATTTGGAAAGATAACCCATGGACAAAAGAACCACCGGATAAACAACTTGCTAAAATGAACAAATATAAGAAGGCACCCAAACAAAAGTATGAACGAAAACAAAGGAAGAAGTCGTCACCAAATTCTGCTAATTTAAAAAAGCAAACCCCAGAAAAACCTATTCCAAAGCCAAAATATAAACCAAATGAAAATTTCCATGCAAGATTTATGAGCTGGCCTCAATCAGAATTTGTTCCAGTCAATATTTTAGATAAACAAACAAATGAAGAAAAGAAGCTTTGTCAACAAGTAGAAAATATCCTCAAAGAAATGCTCCTCCATGGACATGATAAGAAATTCAAAGAAAGATTTGATATTGATGGATTTATCAGTCCAGAACTTCAGGAAAATGCCTTTTGGTACACTAAGCAGTTTGCCGAGTTGATAACACCAGTTGAATCGGGTCAAAGGTTATATGAAAGACACAGCTGTCCATTCTTCCATAACAATGATGTATTTATAGATCCAGATAAAGTATCAATCGAGGATGAAAAGGAACAGGTACCACAGGACGATCAGTTTGGATTGCAGGACTTGATGAAAAACCAAGAGTTACAAACTGTGGCAGAAAGTGTCCTTCAGAATGTTGATGAAGATTTTTCAAAGAAAGAAGATGTGCAAGAAGTTCAGGCAGAAGGTCCATATGATATGCATAAAGATATTGGTGGATTATTACTCTTGGACGGGGAAATCTTGCAGCCAAATACATCTCCATATGACAACCAAGGAGATTTTCCTGTTATTGGTTTAAATCAGCATGAAGATCTGTGGTCAACACTTGTAAATCAAAGTGAGAACAAATTAATCTGTCAGCCTGGAAGGAATTGGAAAGATGAAAATATATCACAGATGGAACATCAGAACTTATATGATTGTCCAGTTTTTCAAAGTTTGGAAAACCAGATAGGTAATGCTGATGAAGTTTCTTTGCCTTCATGGATGTTTTCTGCCAATAAAACAGAAATGGATTGTTACGGATGTGATGAAACAGCGGGACAAGAAAATGAGAACTATTCTCAACTTTGGGATATAAACATATGGAATAAACAGCAGAGAGAAAATGGCATGTTCCTGGATGGATTTAACTCTACTTTTGATGATTTTAAATCAGGATTGAACCAGTTACCAGACAAAGGCAATAGAAATAGTGGAGTATTCAATATCAACTTAATAAATGAAGGCCTGGAGTCATTTGATCTGTTAGAAGGGGACAACATCAATACTTTAATTCCCAAGATAACTTTTGAACTTGATGACCTTGATGAATCGACCCATGAACATAAGGATGATGATCAACAGAATTTTCCGCGAACATATGATCGCAGTATTTCTTTAACAGATGTACATTTGTTGAAATCTTTGAGAGATAATCAGCTAGCTTCTACAGATAAATTATCCAAAAGTTTCGAGTTGATTCCATCAAATAACTCTGCTTTTAAAGATGTTATTCCGAGAAAAATGACTCATGTGCAGAGTGACTCTAATATTTGTTACTTTAACTACTCTACTTTGATTGATTTTGAAGACAATGTGCCTAAAGTTCAAAATGAAGAAAAAAATGAGAACTTATATTTGTCACCTAAGACCCATTTTCGTCCAATTTCGGCCAAGGTGGAAGAGGATTTATCAGATTTACACCTGAGAGATCTGTTTGGTGGTTATTCTTCCTCTACAACTCCATATCAGAAGTTTCAAGAAGTTACTGACTCTGGAGATGAAGATTCATTTATTCCGATGTTCAAAGTTTGTAAACAACATGACAAAAACATACAGACAGGTTCAAGTTTTGATGACCAACCAGAAAACAATGAGAAAATGTCTTGTGAAGACAAAGGGAGGCCACCTGAAGTAGTAAAAGAGGAAGAGGAAGAGGACATAGAATTCATTCAAGACTTTGATGTTTATGGCTATGTAGACAGTTTAACAGCATCAGCACAAAATACTCCTCAAAATGTATTGGACGTGGCTTGTAACACATGTTTTGACTCTGGATATGAAGAGGCAAATGATGATGAAAAAGTTCAAGAAGAAAAAAGTAACTGGCTTACTGTTAATGAAAGTCATAGACTCAGAAAAGCTAAAACAATGGAATGGCATCACCCAGAGAAAAAGGAAGAGAAGGTTCCAGCAGATAACCAAGATTTATGGGGAGAGAAATGGTCTCATCCACAGAAAAATGAAGAACCCATGGAGAACCAAGATTTATGGGGAGAGAACTGGTCTCAACCACAGAAAAAAGAAGAACCTATGGAGAACAAAGATTTATGGGGAGAGAAATGGTCTCAGCTGCAGAAAAATGAAGAACTGATGGAGAACCAAGATTTATGGGGAGATAAATGTTCTCAGTCGCAGAAAAAAGAAGAACCAATGGAGAACCAAAATTTATGGGGAGAGAAATGGTCTCGTCTGCAGAAAAATGAAGAACAGACAGAGAACCAAGATTTATGGGGAGAGAACTGTTCTCAGCCGCAGAAAAATGAAGAATTGACTGAGAACCAAGATTTATGGGGAGAAAAATATTCTCAACAACAGAACAATGAAGATTTGACAAGTAATATTGATGTTTGGGTAGAGAAATGGCCTTCACAGCAGAAAAATGAGGATGAGGCACCACAAGATAATCCAGATTTTTGGGGGGTAAATGAATCTGAACATGATGGAGAAATAGGCTGCAGTATTCAAGAAAATGTATGGAGCAGCACTGACGATAGCAATTTTCCAGATATGTTTTCTTTCTTCACAGAAGACTGTGATGATCTTAAACCACAGGAAACTACAGCTGTCCATGCACCACCGTGCTATTTGTTTGATGCTGTTTATTCTGAATCTGAGAAATGTAGAGAAATACCATCAAAAGATAATGATGTTACTAAAGTACATCTGGTCATTGGAAAAGGAAAGAAAGTTCTCCAAGATATAGAAAACTGTCCTCGAGATAACTCTGTTTCTGAGGTAAGATTCATCTATTTCTATTATTCAGAAGCTTAGACTATTTATATCTCATTTTCTGAATATGACACAGTTTTCAGAGAACAAAACAGACTGATATGAGAAAAACTGTGTCTACTGAAGAAGAAAAAAATTCTGTCAAAAACAAAACATTAAGCTTCAGTATATTTATTATATATAAAACTATTACCATGAATTTATACCAAAAAACTTGGAAAAAAAAACTATGATTCTAAAAGTAGGCTTTGTCAAACATTCCTCAACATTCATTATGAACATGATGAATGAAAGGGAATGTGATTATAAAAATACACAGATAGAAACAATTGAATTGAATGCCTTTGATAGTACATTGTTTTGGTTTTGAAAATCTCAGATACCTTCAATTAAGATTTCATTCATGAAGCATTACCATATTTGTTGGAGATTTTCTTAGTTTTACATTCCCATCAGTGTTTGATTTTGATGGAATTTATTATTCCTTTTAATAATAGACCTCCAAAGATATGCAAGATATATAATAAAAAAAAGATGCAGGATACAATGTTTAAAAAAAAAAGATATACAAGATTAATAGTGAAAAAAAAGATGCAAGATACAGCATAAAAAAAAAAAAGATATACAAGATTAATAGTGAAAAAAAAGATGCAAGATACAACATAAAAAAAAAGATATACAAGATTAATAGTAAAAAAAAAGAATATGCAAGATACAAGATGTGCAAGATACAAAATGAAAAAAAGATATGCAAGATACAAAGGGAATAAAGATATGCCAGATACATAGTGAAAAAAAAGATATGTAAGATACAACATAAAAAAAAAGATATGCAAGCTTAAGATACATAGTGAAAAAAAAGATCTACAAGATTAATAGTGAAAAAAAAGAATATGAAAGATATGCAAGATACATAGTGAAGAAAAAAAGATGTGCAAGATACATAGTGAAGAAAAAGAAATGCAAGATGCATAGTGAAGAAAAATGAAATGCAAGATACATAGTAAAGAAAAAAAGAAATGCAAGATACATAGTGGAGAAAAAAAGAAATGCAAGATAAGTAGTGAAGAAAAAGAAATGCAAGATGGATAGTGAAGTAAAAAAGATGTACAAGATTTATAGTGAAAAAAAAATGCAAGATACAACATAAAAAAAAATAGATATACAAGATTAATAGTAAAAAAAGGAATATGCAAGATACATAGTGAAAAAAAAGATGTGCAAGATACAACATAAAAAAAAAGATATGTAAGCTTAAGATACATAGTGAAAAAAAAGATATGCAAGATGCATCATAAAAAAAAAGATCTACAAGATTAATAGTGAGAAAAAAAGAATATGCAAGATACATAATGAAAAAAAAGAAATGCAAGATACATAGTGAAGAAAAAGAAATGCAAGATGCATAGTGAAGAAAAAAAGAAGATTCATAATTAATCATACAATTTTGTTTTGCAGCCAATTTATGTGAAGGGTTACATGCCTATGCCAAGAGTTGCTGTTTATTCCTGTGAACTTGAAAAAGAATGGTTAGATAAAGAGTCTCCAAAGTCTAATGGAAAGTCTTCTAAGTTTGGCAAATGTAAGTATTAATCTAGGGAACTAATATTTGAGAGTTCAAGATTTTAATGTGGTGGAATACTGTAATTAGTTCTTACAGATACTACATTTTGGAAGACAATAAAAAAAAAATTTTATTATAATTTTGCAGCAAAAAATATAATTGTTAGTGATAAAAAATGTGAATAAGGATGAATAGATGAGATGTGTGATATACAATGATGAGACAGCAACCAGATAACACAAGTAATAGTGATACCTAGAGAGCAACATACATTCTTAAACAAAAGATGGTCTAAACAAAATGTCAAGTTCTAATATCGTCCAAAGAAATTGTGAATAAATTTAATTATCAAAGATCAGCCATCAAATCTCTACAGATACTTTTGATTTTGAAGAGAGATTCATATACAAACAATGTATATTTATTGAACTATTTCTTTTAGTACTTCACAGATGTATGCATTACGCATCTATGGTCTGTGCAGATTTTTCAGGATTGCCTGAGGCTGAACTTGGACCTTTATATCGTATGAATTGTTAAAATATTTTAAATTTCTTTAATGTTTATCCAGCATACAATTTCATACAACAGAAAACAAAATGCAAAATGAGTTTCAGGGGCAAATCACCTGATAAATAAGAGATTTTTGGAAATAAAGATTTAAAACACATCGACGTGATTTTTCTGATTTCATGCGAAAATAATTTGAACTTTAATAAAATAATACTTTATAAAGATGAAAACATTACTGTAAACAGGGAAATTTTCGTGGCAGTTTTTTTTCGCAGTAAAGTTGAAATGCTAGTGAGCATTTCAAAATAATTTATTAAAATTTGTATAGGACCCCTATAAATCGTGAATTGAGAACAGCACGAATCAAGATTAAGTTGGTAAATCGTGAAATAAAAGTGGTGCGAACATTTCCTGGTTTACAGTACCTGAAACAAACAGTGAAGACCACTCTTCTTTGTTTACATTGATAATGAAGTCAAAAATGAATTGCTTTATAGCATGACTAACATCAAGGAAATTTCATAGTTCAGCTTACTTTTTAAAACAGAAATTATGCAAAAAATTTGGTAACCCTGGTTATCATGGTCATTTGATTGTTCAGGCCTCAATCATGAAGACAATCACTTATGGTATTTTAACTTTATAAGTATATTCATGATTATTGTGTTTTATGTGATTTTTAAAATCCCATTGCTCAAAGTAAAAAAAAAGGATTTCATTAGTAATTAAAATCAAAATTATTTTGTAAATTTAATTTAGAAAAAAAAATAAGTAAGACTTTTTTGCATAGCTATTAAACATACTTCATCATGTTTCACTGGTAACAAGTACATCATATTTATCTACAGGAGAGTTATTTTATCTTGACAGGTTCAGGAAGAAAACCATGTACATTTTTTATGGAAGGAAGCTGCAAACGAAGTGACTGTAAATTTTCCCATGATTTGTCCAACATTACTTGTAGATTCTGGGAGGAAGGAGATTGTTTTAAAGGTGATCTCTGCCCATTCCTGCATAGTTATTATGTGTAAGTAATTACTTAGCAGTTGTTAAATGCATATTGAGAGAAAAATACAAAGAAAAAACCCTAAACAACATGAACAACTTGCCAAATGTAATTTTAGGTGAAAACTCATATAGAACAAAGTTGTTCATTAGGTGATATATGACATTTAATGAGGCCAAATTAAAAATATTCATGTTTAGCTTTTATATCTATTCTGTTTTTATTCCCCCACCATGTCCGTACATCTCAAAATTAGATTCTGTTCTCTAACTTTAGTTTGCCTCACTCAAATATGAAATTTGTACACAATGCTTATTACCACCAAACACAGATCAAGTTCAATTTTGAGTGGCGTCACTTTCGCTGTTCTTGAGTTATGTCCCTTAATAAATAGAAAATTGGTGAATTTGTATATTTACAAGCGGGGGCATCTGTGTCCCATGGACACATTCTTCATTTATTTTTAGCTCACCTGGCCCAAAGGACCAAGTGAACTTTTCTCATCACTTGGCGCCGTTGTCATTTAACTTTTACAAAAATCATCTTCTAAACTACTGGGGCATCCAAACTTAGCCACAATCATCCTTGGGGTATCTAGTTTAAAAATTGTGTCCGATGACCCTGCCTGCCAACCAAGATGGCCGACATGGCTAAAAATAGAACATAGGGGTAAAATGCAAGTTTTGTCTATTATTTTGAAAGCGTTATAAATAGAGAAAATCTGACCGGGCAAAAATGTTCAGAATGTTGAGCTCTACCAATTGTTCATATACGTCAAAATTGTCAAACGACTTCTTATTGGAGTCATTGTCCTTAAATGACAAATTTTACCATTATTATATGCCTGTTTAAGGGACGTATTATGGCATACCGTTGTCCGTCGTCAACATGTTGGACATTAACTCAAAAACGCTTTGACCAATTTGCATGAAACTTTGGTGAATTGTTAATATTTATTGACGTGAGCTTCCTTTCGTTTTTTATAAATTTTATATTTTACGTTTCCGAGTTTTGGGGTTTTATTCATTAAAAAAAGGGGGATTTTCCAGTTTTCTGACAATAACTCACAAACTCTTTCAGCAATTTGCAAGAAACTTTGGTGAATTGTTTATAGCTATTGGCATGAGCTCCCTTTTGATTTTTATAAATTTTTAGATTTTATGTGTCCGAGTTGTGGGGTTTTATTCATTAAAAAAAGGTGGATTTTCCAGTTTTCGGTCACTAACTCAAAAATGCTTTTACCAGTTTTCATTAAACTTTGTCAACTGATTTATATCTATTAAGATAACCTCCCTTTAGTTTTTTATAAATTTCTGATATGACATTGAGAAGTTATTGAACTTTATTCTTTGAAAACGCGACGGGCATATCATGCGCTCATGGCGCAGCTGTTTATTTTATGCCCCTGCCGTTGCCTCAACCAAATGTTATGAAACTTATACACAATACTTATTACCTCAAAACACAGATCAAGTTTGAATTTGGGTGGTGTCACTTTTACCTTTCTAGAGTTATGCCCCTTTACTAATGGAAAAATTGCTGAATTTTTCGTTTCTGTTCTCTAACAAGTTTGCCTCAACCAAATGTTATGAAACTTATACACATTTGCTTATTACTACAACATACAGATCAACATTGAATTTTGGTGGCATCACTTTGACCGTTCTAGAGTTATGCCCATTTACAAATGGAAAAATGTTTCTGTTCTTGAACTTAAGTTTATTTACCATTTTTTTTTCCATTTTTGCCTTATATCTTAAAAATTATAATAGATAGATAGAAACTTAAATAAGCAAAAATGATCAGCAAGACAAGATCTACAATTTAGACAATATGGAGGAAATCGTCCGATGACTCCTTATTGGAGTTATTGCCCTTTAGTGATGAATGTTACCATTTTTTTGCATTTTGCCTTATATGATAAAAAGTATAATAGATAAATAGACACTTTATAAATCACAAAAATGATCAGCAAGGCAAAATCTACTAACAAGTCAAATTTTGCCGATATTGTTATTAGACTGTCACTCTTTATAGGAGTGATTGCCTTTAAATGAGGATTTTTTTTACCCTCTTTTGTGTTTTGAGCAAAAACTAAAGAAGATAGAGAGAAACTAAACAGACTAAATGATCAGCAATCCAAGATCAACAAAACAGATTTTTGTCATGAATTCTATTCTCGTCTACAATGTTGGAGAGTGTCCTTTGTTGAATATGCTCATAGACCAAGGTGAGCGACACAAAATAGCCCCTAGTTTATATGCATACCTTGATGATTTTCATTGGCATTTTTTGTTGAGAAAATAAAAGAAACAACCATTTTCCTAATTTTTCCTATTCATGAAATGTTGCCTTCCATTTGTATATGTTTAACTGGATATCTCAACAAACATGTACACATTTTTTCTACCTGCAACATTTACATTCATTTGACAGCATGTATCGTACAGACCAACAACATTTTATCTGTCATCAAGTACAAAAAAAATATAGATAATTGTTAAAATGTCATATTTGTTTGTTGTACCATCTTACCATCTGGAAAATAAAATCAATTAATGTTCGATACTGGATAGATTGACTTTTTGAAAATGATGATTTTTTTTTTATAAATTTAGTGAAGGTTTTCTCTGAATTTACCTTCATAAGGAATGCTCAAAGCAAAAACTTAAAAGCCAAAGATGCCTACATGAACCTGCCCCTATCTGCCATGTAATTCAATATTTTGTGCTGGTAATTTGTTTCCTCTGACTAACTTTGAAATGGACCATTCATGGATATTGATTTGTTATTACAGTTCTGAAATACCAGTTGATATCAAAGAAAATGTTGATGATTATTTTGAATTTCAAGAAGAGGAGTTTCCACAGCTTTCTAATCAAAGTAAGGTAAGTGCCTTCAGGTATTGTTAAGAACACTTGAGCTGTGTCGGATAGAAATCAACTTTATTCAAATGAATATGAATACATCTGTTAACCTATTTTGGGTTGAAAAAATCTCTATGCAAAGTCTGTAACAAATTGAGTTGATATAAGAACCCTACAAAACAGACCAAAATTCATCTTTTATTTCGTATTTGAATGTTCCAAAATCAAAGTCTTTATACATGTACATGTATACGTGCACTTGCATGAGGTTGACACAGCTCACTTGTTAAATGAGAGTTTGGATTGGGGAATAGAAGTGTAAGCAAAGTGAGAACACTATTTTTTTGTCAGAAATCAATGCAAATGAAGGTTGAATAAGACCACTATTTATGCAGTCTTTGATTATAATGAAAGAATGTTAGGGATGTATGGCTCTGTGATGCTGTTAACAATGCAAAGTTCTGACTTTTGGCTTAATAATAAAACAATTAGATTTTCATCATACATTTGAAATGTTTAGTTTACTGCTAGATTAAGTCATTTCTCATTTTGTTCAGCCTGAATTGTTAACAGTGAACAAATTAATAGTATGGTTGCATATGTTTTCTATGCCCCACCTAGTGGCATTATGTTTTTTGGTCTATGTGTCTGTTCTTCTGTCAGTCTGTCCCACTTCAGGTTACAGTTTTAGGTCAAGTTAATTTTGGATGAAGTTGAAGTCCAATAAACTTGAAACTTACTACACATATTCCCTATGATATGATCTTTCTAATTTTAATGCCAAATTAGAGTTTTGACCCCAATTTCATGGTCCACTGAACATAGAAAATGATAGTGCGAGTGGGGCATCCATGTACTAAGGACACATTCTTGTTATCCCCACCTGTTTGTTGGTGTTTGTCAGTCTGATAAAAAAATATGGTTTGTCCACTCAATATCAAGGTAGAAAAAATATTTTACATATACTGAAGGTTTGCATATTATCAGAATTTTAATTCCATGAATTATTTACAAAATGATGGGTTAGTTGAACTTAGCTAATTATTTTAGATATATAGTGCACTGTTTGCTGGCTCAAGTCTTCTTATTAAGTTGCATTCTTATGTTGATTTCATTTATTTATGGAATGGAATTTAATTAGTCATATATCATATTATAATTACCTTTTCAGGATCTGTTTGAAATTTTTTTTTATCATAATCCATTATATTTTTCACATGTTTTTTTTTGTAGAGACAGAAACAAAAGATATTAAAATCTGAGAAGTCAAATACTTTTGTTGAATCAAGGAAAATTTACAGGACAAATGGATCCAAGCAGAAATCCGTAAAATTAACAGAAAAAAATGAAAATTAAGTTGTGTACATAATATTTACATATCTGCATCAGTGATAAAACATTTTGAACTTTATCCTATGTTTATCTTTAACTCTTAAAACAATCAAAATTGTCAACAACACAAATGTATAAAATTTGGCTAAAAGAGGCTTCATAAAATATTCATTGAAAAAATGCATAATTTGGAACAAGGTTTTAAAATTTACGCTTTTTTTTTTTTTTTTAAATCAGCTTTATAGCTTGTTCTTACCATTCAGCAAAGTTTCATTTATAAAGATTTATTATTGTATTCAGTCATTTTGAAATATTATTACCTTATTAATCATTTTGCAGATAACTTTCATTTCCATATAAGAGATTAAATACAGCCTGTTCTTGATTTATGCATGTATAACATTAAAGAAATTAAAACTCTCCTGTTTAAAGATCAGATTTATAAATATGTGTTTTTTTTTATATCACTGTAACGGTTTTGTAAGTTTACAATAGAAATTAAATGGCAAAAAAATTTACACACTTGTTTCTGGCAAACAAGTTCTTTCAGGAAAGATAAGTAATATTCTGTGTTGGATTGTGACTGTAGATTTCTTTGCTCATAGAAAGTTATAGAAAATATTTAAAAACACTTTCTGCAGGAGAGTTCATGTATATAAAATTGTTTTTAAACAAATGTTTGTAGTATATTGAAGTTTATTCAGATTTTTAAAACAAAATGTATAGTACTAAAGTGCAAGTTTGGGGGTCTTTTTTTGTACAATTGATAAATAGAAGATAAGAAATGAGGTTTTAGCCAAAAGGAAATTCATTTGATATTTGTCTGAAGAGTTAATTATTGAAAGTTAAAGAGTTTGAAATGGAACATTCTTGTTTATCAGATTTTTTGCAAATTAAAGAAAATAGAAGGAAAAAAATGAATCTTACGCATTAAATAATGAAGTTGTTAAATGAAGAGTTTCCATTTTAAACTCCTTGAACCTTTAACATTCTAGTGCTCATTGTTAAAGAGCCTCTTGTACAATTGTTGCCAAGTTTATGTAGAGCAAAATTCTGTTACAGAATGAAAAAATATATATGTGTGTGTGTAGATTTTTTTTATTAATACTCCCTTGATTTTCATAATTGTTACTTTCAGTTATTAGTTTTGATTTTCAACATGTTTTATTTAATGCTATCAGTGTTCAAAGAATACTGAGGAATTATATTAATAACAAGTGTGCCATTATAGCTATGCACCATTTTATTGTATGACTTGTGGTGATGTTCAAAAATTTTGTTAGTGTTGTTCAACAACTGTTTTTTTTTTCAGTACTCATTGGAAATTTTGGAAGTTTATTTGTAAATTCTCAAAGGTTACTCAAAGTATTTGGGATGACTAGATTCTTGAAACACCATAGTCAATGATGATACAAGTAATCAGTGATTTTTCTCTCAGAAATTACAATCTTAACATGGTTTATTCAGGAAAGACCAAAAAGAAAAGTTTTTGTGACAATTTTTTCATCTTGAATTGTATACTGGATAATCCAGTACAAGCCACTTTCTTTGCTGTTGTGGTTTTACTTTCTAATAATTGTTAAACAATTAAGGAGAAATAAAACCCTTAACTGTACTAATTAGGAAAATTAACAAATTGTTGATCAAAAATATTTTTGATGAGGTGTTTAAAGATATGCAAAACCAAAGGATATCAAAACATTTTCATTTTAATTGTTAAAGTTTCTTTTATAGAATAATAAAAATGCCTGAAAACTAAGAAAAGAATGATAAGATTGCATAGTTAAAATTTAAAATGAAATAGTTAAAACTTTGTGTGTAGAATAAATAAGAATGCCTGAAAACTAAGAAAAGAATATTAGGATAGCATAGTTGAAATTTAAAATAAAATAATATGTTGTATATAGTTTAAAAGATAAGATTTAAACAGCATAATCATCAGGAGTCGGTTTCACCAAAAAACTTTTGACTAAGATCAATCTTATGTCATGAACAGTTCAGTATACTAACGATCAATCTTGGTCGTAAGTTTTTTACTGAAACCAACTCCAGGGTCTACTATCATATCCAGTACCTGTGAGTGAGATAAAATGATGGGATGCCAACCTTATTTCTTTATTAAATAAATATTTCAAAGAATCAGAAACTCTACGCCTTTCTTTTTTCTTTCTCTTCTCTATACTTTCTTATTTCTTTCTCTTCTCTATACTTTCTTATTTCTTTCTCACTGTTACTATTAATTTTCCTTCTATGATTGATGCTTATTTCAAATGGGCCAGAGTAGAACCATTCAAAAGTAATATGAAATTCAATGTAAAGGATGGGTTTCAATTTGGAAAATCCTCAACTGAATCAAACTTTACTTTACACTGAAGGGATCACGGGGAAAACATGCCTCTTCTTGGGAAAGTATTTCACCGATTCTTCGTTTTACATTTAAAAGGTGATTTTTTTTCTCCATTAAGTTTCTATTAAAGTCCAAGATGACCACCATTGCTGAGCAAAGTGTGTAGAGGAAATTGCTGAATAATGTGTCATCCAATCCTTTGATAAGTGAGCGTAAAGGTCAGATGGGTTATACCAGCTCATTCAAGTTTCATGGTGTACAAAAAATGGCAAAGGCTGACATAACAAAACACTTCAATAAGTGTAGTTTGATAATATATTATACAAAATGTATAATGATGGTAGAAATCAGACTTACAAAATGTCATTTAAAAGTAGCTATATATATATATAGTGACATGCTTTACATTTCAAGTTAAAATGATGTTAAATTGTAAAGGTATTTTAAATTTTGTGTATTTAAAAAAAACCTATTATAAGAACAAGTCGGGAATTAAGGTTGGCATTGCTGTTTATATCTGTAAAATGAATATCCGTTAATAAGTAGTATTAGATAGTATTAGAAATAATCTTAAACATGGTAAATGTTGTGTGTAATTGTTTTGTGTGTGATGTATGAGTGTTGGGTTTTGTGTGATGTATAAATGTGGGGTTGTGATTAATTTATTTAATAATTGTTTCTGTTGTCTGAAGATTGTTAAGTTTGTAAAAGATTTTTTATTTTGTTTTCTGAGTAAGAGCTGCAAAAGGAAAACATTTGAAAGTTCTCTGTTGTTTTAGCTCTTATACAAATGCAGATTTATCATGTTAAAATGAATGATGTGTGCTTAACATACAAAATATCCAAGTCCTGTTTAATACCAGGTCAGAGCCTTTTTTTTAATCTGTTAATTGGTATTCTCATTATTTATATTATCAACAAGTTTAAAAAGTTGATTTCTTTTTACATTATTGGATGTTATGAAGTAACTCTAGGTCTAGATGGTTTGGAACCAAACAGTATTGATTAGCAGTTCCTAGATCATATTAGTATTTAAGTGTGGGTGTCAATTCTATGACTACAAGCAAGTCAGTTTTAATGTTCATGGAAAAAATACTTATTTTCAAGCTTGTTTAACTGTTAAACCAGATGGAGGACAATTCCATTCATATCATGGAGGCAAGCACAAGAATCTTAACACATTCAAGGTTATTTTTTAAGTGTTGAGACAAACAGAAAAATTGTAACAAAAATTAGGGCATATGGTGTATTAATTCATGAGACAAATTCCCTACACAGACTTTAATAACCAAACCCAAATCAAGCAAAGGAACTTTGGTTTTTTTTTACTGTTTCTTCATCTCAAAGTCATTATGAGGCTTTCAACCCATATCAAAAGCTTAAACCTCTTTGCAATCTCAATTCTATGTATAAATAGTAAATATAAATATTATACAAAGGTTATGTTAAGTATCTACATCACTTGTATAACATGATATCTCTGTTTAAATAAATAAAAAAAATGCAGTTCACGATGAACAAATCCCGATCACATATGTTTTACAGGGACAGTAATTGCATTTAAAATGAACAAAACATGTTTAAGAAGTGTTCATGTGCATGAATGGAGATCGTATACAAGATTTCTCTTCTTAAATTAAATGTACATAAAAGAACTAAAATTATTAGTCAATTGTTTTTGTATTTTTTATTTTTATATAAACTAACCATTAAAAAAGGAAAGCTTTAAAGCAGATAGGAAGTATGTAAGAAATGAATAAGACCAAGTCAAGTTGATTCTAGTCATTTATAGACAGATGTTGCTTTGATATAACCAGATGTAAATGATAATCAGACGTGAATAAACAGACACATTCAAACGATAAATTTTTAACCAAAACTGGCTATGATTATAAGGCAACAGGTGTAAACTGCTAAAAATAAACAACCAGTTAAAAAAAAAGCTTACTTTAAAATATTAATGCTTAGTAAAAAAGTGGCTTGTATGGATTTACATAATGTTTAGGATTGTATCTAAATTTTATTGTTTTTCTTTGCAAGTAGTTGTGTAAACAACTATAACCTAAAGCTAAGTTGATTGCATGTTTCTCAGGATGTTAAAATTAGATAGTTTTTAATTTGTTGGTGTTAACATTGATTATATGATTGTTTGTTCCTTATGACAAAGTCGGAGAATATATTATCTATGTTGTTTGTTAGAAGAAGTTGCTGATGTCTAAAATGATTAGTGTTTATTCCGTCATGGTAGAAACATGCATTCAATTTTATGTAGTATGGGTTTTTGACAGTACTATTTTACTATATTCACTAGTTTTTCTTTAAAAGAAGAAATATGACTGGACAAAAGAAGCAACTCCAGCTTCTTTTTTATTTTATTTTTTTTTGTAAGGGAGGGACATGTCAAATATTCTGTTTTACATAAAAATATTAGGAATTATGACTGGACATTACTTCAATAGTTTAAGAAGATCTGATCGCAAGTTGTATGAACTTTTTGTGGAAGGGGATGAAACTTGCATTTATGGAATAGCAATTTGAATTTTGCAACATAAAATTGCATTTATATGCCAACATAAAGTTACATTTATACAGGGAAAATTTGTGTTAACTTTCATGTAACATTGCTTTTTTCTTTTTTATGAACTATATGATTAAATGTCTGATATCAGTCTGTGCAGATATATATGTACATATTTACACTGAATGTTGGGTGTTTTGAATAGGTTATATCAAAGCAGTTTATTAATGCTTTACGTTTAAAGAAGTCATGAATTTTGATCGTAAATCCATAATCTGAAAAGAAAAAATGGAAAAAAAAAGAATAAATCATTTATATGTATATTTACATTAATTCATCGTTAGATTTCATTTAAACTCATACAACCATATAGTCCTATAAGTCCCAGTAGAATCCTTCCATCTTTTATCCTTAATAATCATAAAGCATATTTTACTTTTTCATACAGAAATAACTTGCATGATTGTTTTTTTATAACACTGAAATGAATGACTTTTTATCTTAAAAAAAAATTCAGACAAAATATACAAAAGAATATGTTGAAACTAGTAAAAGTCTGTCGTCATATTCCTTTTGGAAAATTTCAAAATTTCTTCTTGTCCGAGATTCCCTTTTCAAAGAATATAGGGAATGAAAACTTGATAAAAAAATGTAAAGCCTTTTTTAAAAAGATACAATTTTAAGTTTTAGTTAGTCCTGGACATAGTTTCTATGTTCTGTTTCTGCCTTCACCAGACTGAAAAGTGAACAAATGGTTTACAAATTGACCAAAAATGTCTAGTTGCTTAAAAAATGATAAAAAGTAAACATTGCAATTTTTGTTTAGAGAATGTAAATATTTCAGTGTGCTGTGGTCCTTAAAATGCCATGAACTTGAACCAATTTAAAACAAAGTATATATAAGAAGAAAAAATTTAATATTTGCCATTAAATATGGTTTCTTTGTATGAATGGAGGTGGCATCTGTTATAGTTTTACCCAGAACAATGTTTTGTGTTCATCATTTTAGTTTATGTAAGAAAGTTTGGAGTATGTATGTATGTACATTATTCATCTGTTTGTCATTGTTATGTTACACCCTCAAAATCCATATTCCATGATTTTACATTTAAAAAGTAAAATATTAATGTTTAGCATAAAAAAAATATTATTTAATGTTGTTGATAAATATTGGTGCCGACATTTTGAAATCTATGCACATCTTTATGGTTGATGTGTTATAAGAATTTTACATTGATGCATATAGAGACGAAATTTTCTTCAATCTTCTAAAGTATCAAAGCTGTAGAAGATGAGAAATCTTTCTCACTTCATCAATAAAGGCACAGAGATCATTGTCATGTTTAATGTTTAGAAGTTGATACAAGAATCGGTATTGATCTGTCACAGAGTAATCAGAATCTGTGTTGGTTTTCATATGTTGCAATTTTCAGAGATGATTCTGTATGACCACTTATATAAAAAAAAAATATTTGTTTTGGCAGATTGAACATTTACTTAGATTAATGCCCTTATTTTAAATTGAAATATACAATTTTGTATTATTTTTTTTATATATATAAAAAATTAACCATTGGACAATTTTTGATTAAATTTATCCACAATGCCGTAGACCATTGAATACAAGTAATTTATTTGTGATTAATCAATTTGACATTCTACACAATTCAATAGGGCTTAATATTAATTTTTAAACCAATAAATCTGAGTTTTTTCACTCTTCAGTTTTACTTGATGAACTCAGTCAAGGGGGACCTGCAACTGATAGATTCTTCTGTTACAGAAAAACACTGATTCTTGTTCATGTGTGTATAAATGGAGGAAAGTTTTATAAACACAAATATTTTTTTTCGTTGGATGGTTGCGTACCATCTGTTTCGCACATTGGGTTCATATTAAGTTATCTGAATGTATATTCATTGTAGTATAAACCTTAATTTTGTATGAATTGACCCATTTTGTATGGTGGATTTTTCAGCATAGCATTCTTTTTTGGTAATTTTCTCATTTTGTGTTCGGTGAACACTAATGTATAAATGTGATGTTAATATAAGCTTTGATAGCTTGGGGAATAAGTCACTTGGAGAAATGAGATTGAACGATGCTATTTGTTAAGGTCAACAAATGGAACAGTTGCTGATGTAAAAAATACCTTGAATATTTTAAAGAAATTCAGCTCAAGACAATTGGCCATTAGACTTAGAAATTATTATGTAGACTGTTAGAGGGATGGAATACATTTGAAAATAACACACATTAATGCAAGTCCATCATTTTGCTTTGATATGCATTTACATGTAAAAAAAAATATGTATGCAGTATTACAATTCTGAATAATTGGTTGAAAAATTTGAGTGATTTTAATTGCTCAATAATTTTTTTTGTACTCACTTTTCAAGAAAAAATGTTCCCACTTTTGAATTGCAAAAAATATAATTTTATTAACTTAACCAATAACAGTTCCAGGCCAAAGAATTGTATTATAAATGTGGTAACAATCACAGACAGATTTAACAAAAATCCTAATTTATATCAAACAAAGTTTTGTTGTGAATTAGAAAATGCATATTTGTTGTACATTTAATTGTTTAGTACATGGCTTTTTATGTTGCTTTTATAATAATCCTTGATAATTGTTGACAAAAAATAGGGAAAAAACAAACTGGAGTAAAATATGTTCAAAATTTTGAATACTCCCAAAGTACTTTTTTTTTTTATTTAAAGTTTAGGAGATTAAAAAAAAAAATTTTTGTAGCTACAAGTAATAGTTTATGCTGCTTTTTAATTCTTGTGAAAATAGTATTTGGTTATCGGTGTATGTGGAAGCTAATTAGAAATTAATTTATTATTCAAACTTCAAATTAATCAAAAATCAGCTGTGAATGTTTGCAAATTTCCTGTCATATGTCACATAATTTATGTTTTTAAAATGCTCATGTCTAGTTTGCTATGTTAAAAATTTTGATGAGAAAGTTAAATGTTTCTCAACCAAAAAAGTGAAAAGAATGCTCCAATTTGGGGTTATAATATTATTACAAATATTGTTCATATAACAAAATGACAATGCAATTTACAGACAGAATTGTTAAACCATCAAAACAGTGTAAAAAAAAGTTAATTCTGTAGATTGTGAAATGATTTTACATCATTGATATTTGAGTCAATACCACTTGACTAATGTTCATGAACTAACCATTTTGTTCTGGTTTGAAGTAAGTTATAGAGGAAATTTCAGCTAAATTAAGACTTTTTGATCTAGCTGTGAAATTCCATCTAGAACATGTTATACTGAGAACAAATGGGCTATTTACATGTACTGTGTATAAAGCGGAAGGAGATAAAAATGGAAAAAGCTGAAAAAAGTACAAACCATTGAAAAATATTCCAGAAAATGGTATGTTACAAAAACAATAAAAGTTTGAAGAGTGATTGGTGTTTGATTATTAGCCTTCTATTTTAGATAGCATGCAGAACAGTGCAATGGTCTCTGATGAAGAAATGTGTCCCAATTGTCAGCATCAACCATGGTGCAAAAAGATTGTATCTAGTCTTTATAGCTCTGTATGAAATGTTTCCAATATGAGACTACTTTTTGGCATTATCTTTGGTTTAAAAATCTATGTCAGTGTGACACCTAACCAAACTCCTTTAATATCTCGAGTCATTTTTTTGTGAAAATCAATTTCTGAGTTTTTACAAGTTACAACCCATCTATATTTGGTATATAGAATTTATAGATTGTAATTCCTGTCTGCAGGAGGCACCTAACATTTATATCATTTTAATTGTTTAGTGATTCATATTCAATATAAAGCCAATTTCTTAATTACTAGATCTGTATTTGGTCAAAAGTTTTTATTTTAAATGGTGAACATGTCCTTTCTGGATGGGGATCATTTAAATATGACTTCATTTCCAGACTCATTGATTTATATTATCTTTAAGTGACTTGGTCAGTTTATAATGATAATGATGATGATGGAATGGTGGTTAATGTCCATTGTCAAATATTACATGCAAATCAGACTGAGAACATGTTAATGTGATATAAATATAAAAACAAGATGATGTATGATTGCCAATGAGACAACTATCCAATTGCTTCATGGACATGAGCAGCTATAGGTCACTGTATGGCCTTTAGCACTGAGCAAAACCAGTACCATAATGGAAGCAATGAGATGCCCCTACATGGCAAAATTTAAGGGCCTCTTCAAATGAGAAAACCAACAGCCTGATTTATGTACAAAACCATAAAAGAAAAAAAAAACTAATATATAAAGCAACCAACAGCAACCACTGAATTACAGACACATACAAAATGTGGGGTTAAACATGATTGTGGATGCTCAACACTCATCTAACCTAGGAAAGTGATATACCAGCACAACATAAAGAACAAAAGTGGATTGATGAAATTGCAATAATTAATCTTGCATTTTTGTCCAATCCTACAAAAATAGCAATAAGAAATGCATGCAATAATTTCTGAATTTACAGTAACCAAAAGACTAAATGAACCCTGCTTTGTACTTAACTGACACACTGATCCAGAATTTTAACATACTAGTTCACAACAGTCCTCATGAAGACCTCTGGTAGTGTAGATTGACCCTTATTTCTAGTGAGGCATACGTTTCGAGGCTAGGGAGTCTAGCCTTATATATACAAGTTTGAGCTTTCTAAAAAGCTGTGGACTGCTTCGCTCTATCCTAATTTAAGGTAATATGTGTGCATGTGGTTGTTAAATTAGTATTCTGGAGGTGTGCCTAGATTGGCAGAAGGTTATAAAATACAGATAATGCATTTTTGTTAACATTGTATAGAAACATATGCATATTGCAGATTAACAAAGCAAATAAACACCTATTAATAATTGATATTTCAATATTGAATTTCAGTGTGCAATATATGCATAATAAAACGAACATGAATTAATGACAGTTGATCGGATCTGAAATACACATAGTTAATTTTCCGGCATTTGATGTCTTATCCCGAGACGAGAAAAGTCTGTAATTCTTTATATCATTTAAGCCAATAGCTGTTGCTGTATTTCAGCCGCATCATAAAGCAACCAATCAGAATCTATATGTGATTAGTAATTATTTCAAGATGGCGTGTATATCGAGTGAAACTAATATCTCCGCACCGTGATGCGAAGCAAATACAGGGATGAATGGAGTTTTTGGCTTGTATCTCAAAAATTTCGGAGACAAAGAAGCTGTGAAATATCTATCATCTCTTCATGATACATATGTTGTTGTTCCTGCGGACAAAGCTTCAACTAATATTGTCTTTGTATGTAAATTGTACTACTACTAGTGTCTTGTAAAAGAATTAGATATAAATGAGCACTCAGGTAATCCCACATACAAAAACATATCATTTTGACAAGGATGAGATCTTGGCAAATCATAAGTCCTTCATGGCTTCAATGAACATTACATTGAATCGCAAATCTGAGGACTTACCTTGTTTGTATTGGATACCTAAGCTTCACAAAATTCCGTACAAACAACGGTACATTGCCGGCTCATCTGCATGTTCTACAAGGGAATTGTCCATTACATTGACAAAAATTCTGTCCGCAGTGAAAGAGGGTCTTCAGAAATACTGTGGAACTGTTTACTCGCGTAGTGGTATTAACCATATGTGGATTCTAAATTTCTCTAAAGAACTTCTGGATAATTTTAAATCTCGATCTTTCTCTGGAATTAATTCTATCAAACCTTTTGATTTTTCAACCCTGTATACCACCATTCCACATGTGAAATTAAAAAATCGTCTAAAAGAAATAATCCATAATGCTTTTCAATATAAAAATGGTAGCATACGCTATAAATTACTTTGGGATACCATACGGTATATTTTGTTAATAGTGAACAAAAAGGTAAAACATGCTACACAGAGGAACAAGTGATCAGTATGCTGGAGTTTCTTATGGACAACATATTTGTTGAATTTGGAGGTCGACTTTTTCAACAAATTGTCGGCATTCCTATGGGGATGAACTGTGCGCCTCTCCTTGCCGACCTCTCCTTATTTTCATATGAGTCGAAGTTCCTTTAGACACTTGTCAAAAACAAGAAGATCAAAGAAGCCAGATTATTTAATTTCACGTACAGATATATTAATGATGTTCTTTCGATTAACAATCCAAACTTTTCTGATTGGGTTCCATTAATATATTCTCCAGAACTAGAAATAAAAGAAACAACAGACACGGCTTCATCCGTCTCATTTTTGTCGAGCCTTCGACTTTTGTCGAAAAAGCGAGACATAGCGATCCTACATTCCGTCGGCGTCGTCGTCGTCGGCGTCGTCGTCGTCGTCGTCGTCGGCGTCGTCGTCGTCGTCGTCGGCGGCGTCCACAAATATTCACTCTGGTTAAAGTTTTTGAAATTTTAATAACTTTCTTAAACTATCCTGGATTTCTACCAAACTTGGACAGAAGCTTGTTTATGATCATAAGATAATATTCAAAAGTAAATTTTGTAAAAAAAAAATTCCATTTTTTCCGTATTTTACTTATAAATGGACTTAGTTTTTCTACCAAGAAACATTACATTCACTCTGTGGTTAAAGTTTTTGAAATTTTAATAACTTTCTTAAACGATCCTGGATTTCTACCAAACTTGGAAAGAAGCTTGTTTATGATCATAAGATAGTATCCAGAAGTAAATTTTGTAAAAAAAAATCCATTTTTTCCCGTATTTTACTTATAAATGGACTTAGTTTTTCTGCCAGTTAACATTACATTCACTCTGTGGTTAAAGTTTTTAAAATTTTAACAACTTTCTTAAACTATCCTGGATTTGTACCAAACTTGGACAGAAGCTTGTTTATGATTAAAAGCTAGTATCTAGAAGGAAATTTTGTTAAAATTTTGTTCGATTTTTTTCTGTATTTTACTTATAAATGGACTTGGTTTTTCTTCCAGTTAACATTACATACAGTCTGCAGTTTAAGTTTTTAAAACATTTATTAGATTCAGAAACTATCCTGGATTTTTACCAAACTTGGACAGAAGCTACTTACAATCAAAAGATAGTATAGAGAGGAATATTTTTATTTATTTTTTTCCTCATTTTTGTTGAGCCTGCGATTAACAGCAAAAGTAGGCGAGACACTGGGTTCCGCGGAAGCCTTACGAATTTTTAGACTTATACCTCAAATTTGACATAAGCGGTCATCTCAGTACCAGAATCTATGACAAACGAGACGATTTTAATTTTGAAAATATCAATTTCCCTCACCTTAGTAGCAATATACCAACTTCACATGCATATGGGATATACATTTCCCAACTCATTCCAGTGGCGGATCCAGGGGGGGGGGGGGGGTCCGGGAGTTGGACCCCCCTTTTTTTGACGATCAATGCATTTGAATGGGGACATATAGTTAGAACACCCCTGCATTCGGTATTCAAGAGCTTGCAGCTGCTACTCAGACTTTATAAAACGTCACCAGTGTCTGAGCAGCAAGTTGATGAACCAGGGTTATGTCAAAGAACGTCTCGTCCTTTTTCTTAAAAAGTTCATCGGTAGATACCAAGATCTTGTTGATAAATATTCCGTATCAACTTCACAAATAATGCATGATGGTCTTAAAGTATAGATTCTAGGTACTGACGTTGTTTATCATCTTAATTACGTGTTATAGTGTTCTTTTATTTGTCTTTGTAAATTATAAACCTTTACTGTTTAGTCCATTTTTGGTAATATCCTTTTGGCGTGGCTCGGTACTTATACATCCCGCCATTGTGTTATTGTGCTATGGTCATTTTTTGTATTCCTGTCTTTCATTTTTGCTTATGTGCTTTGTCTATATGCCTTTTTGTTTTGCTTTGTTGACATACTTGTTTGTTTTTATAGTGATTAAGATCATAACACAATGTTGACTGCAGTTCCCCTATTTTTGACATCATTACCGATTATATCTGTTTGTTTTGTTCACACATTGTTGTCAATATAATGGAATTATATGCGACTGTCATACAAGTGAGAGGTTAAGCTAGCTATAAAACCATTTTTTACATAAAGAAATGCCTGTTGCAAGTAAGGAATATGACAGTTGTTTTCCATTCGTTTGATGTGTTTGAGCTTTTGATTTTGCCATTTGATAAGGGACTTTCCGTTTTGAATTTTCCTTGGAGTTCGGTATTTTTGTTATTTTACTTTTTGATGTATTTTTTTTGTAGAAACTAATAGATAGAGAGAAACAATTTATTGAAACTACAAATAAGTCAACATGTGGGAAATAGTTACTTTATCCCTTAGTGGAGTTATTGCCCTTGAAAGATGATGTTTACCAATTTAGTATTTTTTGCAGAAAGTATAATAGATAAAGAGAAACAATAATTAGCAAAAAATTTCAGCACAAAAAGATCTACAATGAAGTCAATATTGCCGATATTGTCGATGGAC